CCCAGATCAATCTTCGAGAAGACCGCTTTGCCGAAAAGGGCTCCAGCAAAGTCCTGAAGATGAGGCATGGGGTACCGATCAGGAATGGTAGCGCTGTTGAGGACACGATAGTCGCCACAGGGTCTCCAGTCGCCTGATGTTGCCTTGGGCACCATGTGCAGTGGGGACGCCCAAGGGCTCACGGACGGTCAAATTATTCCCAGTTGCAGCATGTGTTCAAACTCCGCCTTCGCGGCCTGAGAACGCTCCGGTGCTAGTCGTCGCGGTCGAGCAAACACGGGAGGGCCTGAGGTGCGGATATGTTGCACAACATCATGTTGAACCTCACCACTGCGAAACTGGGGTTTAATTATGTTGGGGTGGCTAAGCAGCAGTTGCCGAAAAGTACTACCAATATCTGTATCCAGGACAGATAAGAAGGTGGGGGCAGTAAATGGAGTTAGTCCACGGACAAACAGACCGGTAGTGCGGTCGAGGAGACGGGCACATCGGCAGTCAACAAGGAGATCGAATTCGGCAAGGAAATCCGAACCGAGGATTGCATGAGGGACATCAGCAATCACAAAGATCCAAGTGAATGACCGACGAAGGCCAGTGTTCAGGGTGAGGGACAGACTGCCAAAAGTGGGAATTTGGGAACAGTTGACAGCTTGGAGATGAAGACCTAGGCTAAGAAAACGGCGATCAGCTGCAGTTAGGGGAACCACGCTGATTTGCGCTCCAGTGTCTACCAGAAAACGTCTGCGAGTCGCAGTGTCACAAACATAGAAGGTGCGACCAGAGCCGGAAGAGGTGTCGGTATGATTGGCTGCACTGACCTTCGGGTTGACTGGTTTTACCCGTTTGCTCTGCTTGGAGGTGAAGGAGCAGGGAGAGATGCAGCGACGGGCTTTGACACCAAAGGTGGTGTGGTACCAGCAGATGGCAGCTGCGTTTGGACGGGTTGAATGTGAAGAGTGGAGATGCGGGGTGGACGGCTTCGGTTGGCTCCGAAATGAGGGGAAGACTGTCTGCTTCTGGAGTGAAGCTATATCACCGGCCAGCCTGCTGACCTCGATCTCCAACTGTGAAAGGAGAGACGTAGGATGAGTTGAGGGAGTTGAGAGAGCTGAAAGTGACGGCTTGGAAAAGCCGTGCATCTCCATAAGACGATCAGCCATCTGAGTAAGTTGCGCTGCCGAAAAAATGTCGGAGGCAGGTGCCAAAATATGCTGCACTTCCGGTGGAAAGTTGTCCATGATCAACGCCTGGCTTTACCGTAGATTAGGAAGAAAGATTGCTGTTCGCAAAGGGATCGCCAATTGTCGGATGTTATGTGGACGACAAGATAAAGATTCCCAATCAAAAGTCAGGGAAGACGGTTTGAGTTGGACAACCTTTTACTGCCAGAGAAAGTGCGTACACAAGGTTGGCTCCGTAGGCAGTCGCCGCGAGCGCGCTCCAAGCAAGCTGTTGTCTGTGTCCGCCCTCGGGGTGTTGTGAGCGCGTGTGCGCCCTTTGTTGTCTCCACGTCCGCCAGCCAATCAGAGTGGGGACAGCGTTGATTGACTTCGAGTAGCGTATCGACACGGAGTGTGAGGCGGACAGGACGGCAGCGTGACAAAGGCGGAGGGCGGGGAGATGCGAACTGCCACAGCCTCATTCACCCCACTTCACATTCTAGTGCACGGTCTCCGAAAAATGACTTGGGAAATAGCGCCACTTCTTAATTTTTCATTGATAAATGGGCTTGGGTAAATGTAAATAAACGTATGGTCCTCGAAATTGTCATGTTGCCCGGCCGAGATCCCACCTTCCAGTGTGACAGTGCGGCCAGAAGGACGACCAGTGTTCTCTTCGCAATTGACGGCTGCTTCGTAAACATTGATAAGGAATTAGTTCGCAAGTAAAATGTAAATGTACCTATCATGGCGATCCTGGCTGAAAAGGACTGTAAGCTGCTAAAGATGGTTCATAGAGGGAAGGCAAATGGTGAGAAGAACCAAAGATTCTTATCATAAGAATGCTGCCTTGATGCGCCTAAACTATTTCCCGTAGAGTACGAATAGATCTCAGGAAATCTAATGCAGACCCACGGGGCTTTGGTGATCCGGACTGTGCCCTGCACTTCGATGACTTCTTCACAGGACTACAACAATCAACCTGAATGCGAACACACTTATATCTTGAAGGATGTCGCACCTGAGCCTGCGGTCGCTCAATCTTGCCAAGATCTGTAAATGTCTAGAATAAATTTTTTGAACGAACATTCTGATCAGGATCCCAGCAGTCAGACCGTCGCTGGCACTGACGGGCCCCGTTCGCCATACGTAGTGAGTGCAGCACAAGTGGCTTGAAGTTGAAATATTTTGTAGCAACTCGGCCTCTCGTTCTATCAACCGCACTCGCACATCACTCACCCACCGGCATCCGGTTGCGCGACGATTTCGAGACGACTGGGAGTGGATGTGATCCCAGAGACTGACAGAACAAAGGTACCCGTCTGCGCCAGTGCACACGACTTATTCCACCCCCGAGTTGCCAGACCGTCGCAAAATGGTGGCTCTTGTCTGTCGTGTGTGAGAGTGCTTGGATGCCGCATTAAGAAAGGACCGTTAAGCTTGAATTTCGGTCAACCAGTAAGCCTGCACGGACACGCATCATACTGAGCATAACAACTGAAATGTCCCCTTACGTGGCTTTCTTCAAAGCTACGAGTTTTAACCTGCGGTGGCAGATTCAAACGCGCCACATTAATTACAGGGAGGAATGGGCTGATTTGCTTCATTCCATCTCGCCTCTCGCACGCACAGGTCGACCATCCCGGCCTGTCATTTTGCTATTGAGTAAATCGGGCGCAGTGGCCGACAGAATAAGGTGACCCGAGTACGTGTGCCATACACGACCTGACCACCAATATTTGTGTCAGGATACATCAAAAGACTCGTGAGAGAGCCCCAATGCCTAACGGAACAAATGAGTTCCGTAACACGGTCGGTGAGCGCTCCTCTATCATGGTATATTCCCGATCGCAACCGACAGAACAACGAGCCCCTGGCTCAGTTGTTAGGGGCGTTGGACTTCTAACAATCAGGTAGCTGAATTCACCCCCGAGATGTTCCACACTTCGGTGTTCAGTATGGCTGGCTGACGACGACTAATGAGCCGAGAATGGTCACTCCGGTCTCCCTTGTCTTGTAGGTAATGTCACTCTGCTATGTCATGTGACGCTGTGCCGCTGGTGGTTGGGTTCGAGAGAGAGCCCTAAGGCATGTGCATGTTTTGGTATGTAGAGTTGCGCCGGCCATTCCGGCAATGAGGAAGCAAATCACATGTTTGCTGATAGAAAGCGGTGTGATTATCGCCGGATGTTGCGCGTGGTGTTCTGGGGGAATCACAGTGGCAAGAGATGCGTGTGTGGGCAAACAGGGTAAGACGCGATGAAGGCATCAAGAGTGTGGCCTTATCGAAGACTGACGGGGGCTCACGTGACCAAATGGGCCAATGCGATAACCGGAAGTCCTTGGGCAGTTTATGCAATTGGGGCGTATGCGACGGGTGTAATTTGGTCTACTTGGCGATGATACATTAGTCTCAGGATGGTTGATTCACAAGTGACCGGCCAGCAATGCGTAATGCGAATGTGCGATCTAAATTTGATAAGTTTGCAATTAG